GAGACATAACGTTATATATAACTAGTAGTATGTAGGTGGCTATTACATTTAAATGTCTTAGGACTAAAATGGTGGAACAGTAAGCTAGTAATTCATACTTGGCTCTCCTAATATATATTTTTTCTTTCTATAAAAAAAATTATAGTTCTGATTTGGAACATCCAAGTTCAGAATATGTACTGTGAATGCAGTTTTGGTGCTTTCACATTAGACTAACTGCAGTTTCTGAAGTCCCATTGTTGTATAATTGCCTGTTGATTGTGTGCTGCTTTATTTCATTCTTAGTTAATCAAATACAGTTAAACGTTAATTATTCTCTTTATTGAAATAAAGTTAAATCTTTTCAGTTATTTACAATTCTTTTACATGCAACGGTTCTATTACCACCTGATTATCAGTAACCATATGGTCTTCAATAATGTTTTCTTATTGTGAATGCTAAGTGTAGTATATCTGATACTAGTAAAATATATAAGAAGGATCTTGATATCATGGGTGGTTTGTGTTCTTTTCCCCATAGATCTGAGAGGATGGATAGGGTTGGCTTTGTCACTCTGTGATGGACTGAGATCAAGAAAGAGTTGATAGCAGTGAAGTAACATTATGGAAAATGTTATTAATACTGATGAAGTGATCCTGGGAAGAAACAATAAATTACATGAGTACAGCTTCTCTAGCTGTGTCGTATATAAATACCACTTCCTTTTAAAATATATATAAAATTGAAAATTTTTTCTATGTTATAATTTTGAAAACCTAAATCTGGTTGAGATCATGTGCTATATTCATCATTTAGGTATTACTTTCTGTTGCAATGATCTAGTTGTACAAATTGTTTACTGTTTCAAGGGATACTTAAATTGTTTCTACTTTATTTTTGTGATTCAAGCTTTTGACTAGTCAGCTACAGAACTTCATTTTTATTAAAGTCCATTCTGACTTATTTGTCATTTATTGTTTTCATTTATAAAGCTTTTTTCCTACATTTCAACTCTGTAACAAAACAATAGCTCTATTGCTTTCATGACCTTTGATTGTTCAATTTATTTTTCATAACAAAGTATCATATTTTGACTTCAGCACTGTGTCTTGTCTCTTTCATCTTACCAACAGCAAGTCACTACACTTTTCTTTCCTGAATCTATAGTTGTTGCAGAGATTAAATTATTGTTATGCCACGTTTCATCCTGAAGTAACACTGTATACTACCAACCAGGAAGGCTGCATGAAAATGCACATGAACATTCTTACTGATAAGTGAGAACCTGTCTGTCTGCAGTGTGTTTGGTCTTTGGATATAATGCTGGTTTGAAACCGAAAATTTTAGTCATGATGATAAATCATGTAAATAGGGAAGATTCTAGTTATCAACAGATTCTAAACACAATGAAGGAAAAGTTATGAGAAGAACAGCTAAAAGACCAAGATCTAGCTAGGGTGCTTCTTGCTATGTAATAAAGTGAAGAGTGACCATCACAGGTTTGTGAACAGAGTAGGAAGGCACAAAACTTCCGGCAATTGTTCAAATCAATTAGAGATATGAGGAAGAGTACTATACCATTGTTACATCCCATACAAGTGTGATGCTCAATCTATGATGCATCTAGAGTTATGAAACCTCTATGACCAGAGATTCTCTGAAATTCACAAAATACACAGATCAGAAAACAACAGAAAGTGTCACATAATAACCAAACTTGGGAAGTAATTTTACTGACTGCATGCTTACTGAGGTAGAAAACAACATCATAAGGATTGTGCTTGTGCATATCACAGAAAGAATAATCCATATCAGGGATGGCTTTGCCCTGGATATTGCTAGATCCCTACCAAAAATAGACCATCATAATTATTACATCTTAGAAGGAATCAGTTACTTCACAAAGTATGGTGAAGCATATGCACTGGCTGAATGATAAAAAAAGTGAAATTGGCAGCAACTGTCTAGTCTGGACCAACCTGAATGTAAAGATGGAAGGTATTTTAAACATCATCATTTCTATCTGAGCTACACTTATAGATTAGTCCTCCATAATATTTACATGTTCAGCAACATTGTCACTATTATCAAAAATAGAAAAATATATATACATATAGTATGAATTAAACATGACTCAACACACATGTAGATTTTATTCCAGAGAATAATTGTATTTCTAATCTTACCTGAGAAACACTTATAAATATCACCTGAAGGAACAAGGAATAAGTCCACATACAATAAACTCTTTGTGAAAGCACTCAAGATTAGATTTACAGAGAATAAGCCTACTTAGGAGAAATTTGTTATACCTATATAGTGAAGAAGGAAATATTATTGATAGAGAAGATAAGAATGGCATTTGTACTTTCTGTACATTCATTTACTAACTGTGATTTCCATTGCACAAAAATGTACAAGGTAACAATATTTATTTACTTTTTTTCATCCTTTCAAACAATTCTAGCATGTTGAGTTACTGACTTTTAAATTTTCTAGTAGTTTTGGATGCGTAAATCCATTAACATAGTATGGTAAACATTTGGAATAAACTAAAGCCTGGCAATGAAAATGGGCAACATTTCAAATGTTCTCCAAAACCTATGTGGGAATGTTAAAAGCACATATTTGTATATAGTAGTTTGAGTTCTTGAAAAGTGACATTCTGCCAAGTGCTAGGGGTTAGCCCTTTACCTCAGTCATTTATGAGTGTTGTTTAACATCAATGAATCAATTGCATAATAATACAATTATGAAGCCACGTGTGAATAAAAACAAATGATTTGATCTGGATGTTAAGACTTTGCAATATATGGTTAAGTGTGATTACTTACATGTTAAGTATTATTTGAAAAAATGTTATTTTCTTGAATATTTGGAAGAGTATTTTAACATTGAAATGTTTGACAGGTAGTGAATGTTCATAGAAGGATACATGTAATGGGGATATTCATGCTACAGTTTCACCTGTGATTTTTTGGTAAAAATGATTTGAAATATATTGATTTGATTGAATTCAAATGATTCAATAGGTGAAATTATCAGAAGCACATGAAATTTACAGACAGTAGCTTAAATAACATAACAAGTATAAACTTGGTGCACCTAGTGTATTTTTAATAATGCAGACTGAAATATTTAGCAAAGCCTACAGTTTTCTTAATATTTTCTGAACATTGTTTTAGTACAAGGAGCAGCTTAAGATCCATAAAAATGTGGGCTTTAAACTCACAAGGGGGAGGCAGAAAGTAGCAACAAACTTGTGAAACTTTGTAATTTGCACCATTTCTAGTACTATGCTTGTAATTGAAAGAAGTCCCTGAAGAAAGACAATGGAAATGTTAGTGAATGCTAATGGTCAAAAGTGAAGATTAGTTTAATTAATTTGGATCAAGATAGGTGCATATTGTTTGGTTCTACAGTAAGCATACTGCCCATTGCCATAGGAATGGCAAAAGAAAGCAGCATGGCTATAGAAGGTAATGGTCAAATGGAGACCTGATGAGACCCTTGGACCAAACAGTTCACAAGTGCCAGGGATAAACTTTCTATAGGATATTAGAGCATATGTTGTGAACCCCACAGAAGTGTCATTTGACCAGGGTAAGCTGCATGTTATTCAGCCTCTAAAAGTAATTTTTAAAGGAGGGTAATAATCATATTGTTTATTCTTGGAATTATACACCAGTTCTATTCAGTGAAGAAAGAATGCAAATTCTGATGGACTAATCTCATGGTAACAGAAAATACTAATGGACTGGCTTCAGAGAAACACAGTATACTCTGATGGACCAGTTTCAGGATGAGGCACTAAATGCTGATTGAGTTGTTACATATGAGAGAAAATAGATATTTCACTGCTGTTAGTGATCTTTGTAAGGATAAACAATAAATTCTGGTGGACTGTTTTCAGAAGAGAAGCAGCAAATACACACACAGGAGATAGTGGCTCTCATAGTTAAAAAACTCTGACAGATTGGTTTCAAAAAACAGGTAGGAAAAAAAACAACTGAAGTATTGTACCCAGTGACCAGACAATAGATGGTGGTGGACTAGTTCTTTACAAAAGACAATTTTTAACAGGACATACTTTTGTTTTGGAAATACACACAAAGTTATCCAATAACTACCTGTGCCATGCAAACCTAATTCTAAACTGATGTTGATAGAAGACAGCTACTCAACAGCACCCATTTCCAACTCTCTAATAGTAGGATTTTACCATTACTCTTATAACACACCCATGGCTCCTAAGTGTGAAGCTCAATCTTGCAGTAACAGGACATGAACCTCAGACCCGAAAATTCAAAATCCTTAGTATGTGCATCAGTATTATTTAGTTACAAGCTTCTGTGTTTATTTATCTCATGGTAAAAGCAAATGTTATCACACACAATTCACAATGAGATCTTAGGCAGTGTTTTAATACAGTTGTCAATCATTTTTAGACTATTTGTTGGCAATGTCTAAGTAATCTTTCACATACTCTTTTCATGAGTCGAAAAGAAAGTATTTGAAATTATCAGTATTGTTACAATCATGTTTTATGGCTGGTAATTTTTATCCAATAACTGATACTATCATGGGTCAAAATATAATCACAATAATTTAGTTTTCTGTCCTTTTACTGTAGTTATCCATGGTATTTCAATGAAATTCTATTAAACATATTACTTTTAATATTTTAAGTTTATATTTTAGTACCATATCATTATACTTTTCACTTTCCTAAATGTTCCTGTTAGTGCAAAAAAAAATAATTCATTTTGAGATTGACACTCAAGAGTTTGAAATATACCAAGTTCTGAGACTATAAAGTTGTTTATATGTTTGTTTTGGGATATCATTAATAGCAATGAGGCACTAATGACAACTAAATATATAGTCTGAAAATGGTGTGATTTATATTATGGATGGAACTTATGTTGAAATGCTGTACTAGGGACTCCTCATGCTAATTGGGTATAAAGTGCATCAGAAATATTGTAAGCTAATTCAAGGTATCTTCAATTTCACTCACCTTTTCTCCCTTCATGCCATTGAATCCAGGTAAACCATCAGCACCTTTGTCACCAGGTTGTCCAGGATAGCCTGGTGGTCCTTGTAGACCTCTATCACCTTTAAGTCCAGGTGGTCCAGGAAGGCCTCTACCAGGTAAACCTTTATCACCTTTTTCACCAGGTAATCCATCTAGACCTGGTTTTAAGAAATTTAGGAAATTTAACAGTAACATTTAATTTCAAATATACAATTGATCAGAAATCTTCAAAACAGAGTGAAAATTGTTGTTTGAAAAAAATTTGAATAAGTTAGGGACATATTAATAAACAATTCTACTGACTGATTCGATAACTTTACCTTATTAGCCATTCTTAGTATCCTGTGTCTAACACTTTTTTTAAAACAGTAAATAAACAGAAAGAACCTCAAGATAGTTTCAAGACATTTTAAATAAACAATGTATTCTTAGCTCTGGACTTATGCTTTTAGGCACCAATAGTATAACAAAGTATCTAAAAAAGTACACTGAAAGTCTGGTTCAACAAAAATTGGTTCATTACTAAAAAGGTTTTGTATATACTTAAAGTACTTGAATATTGAATGTTAAATTGTGTTTCCAGGACATCGAAACACTGTACATGTAGACTGTATTTTTATAGTGGAAGCCAATGATGGCTTCAATGAAGTTTTTAAAATTATATAAATATGAAATGTTCATTTTAATTATTTATTAAATTTTATAGAGTTCTTTACTTCCACCAAAAACAAATATAAACAATAATTCTACATAAACCTTTTTTTATGTTTATACAGTGTTATTGCAAAATATTCGAAATTTAGTTCAAATACAGCCAAATTTGTATTCAGTTAAACTTCTATTTTTCATCATTGCATGAAGTAACACTTTGTAACAGGGTCACATTCTATATAATATCTAACATTTTTAGAAAAAAAAATCATCCTACAAATTAAGATACTTATAACGAAGCAAATATGTCAAAGTGTAGTCAACATATACAAACAAAAGTATTTATCTACACTTTTAATTTTTCAAATATAATACTACAGTGGACACTTTTCAGATATAAACAATATGCTAATATATTGTCTTTCACAGTAGGACCTTTCTTTTATTGTGCTTTAATATAAACTACTGATTTGGAACTAGGAGACAATTCATAAGCAATCACATATACATTTAAAATAAATTATAAAGAGCAAACCAATATTTTTTTTTTCTAAAAAGGAAAATATGAGGTTTAAATTTTTTTCTATATCAATGCACAGTCTTTAATATACATTAATACAGCTTTTTTTGTTCTCAAATTTGATTTCATCTGTCAGGAATTTAATATATTATCTTAAAGGTAAACACAAAACACATTACAGAAGCATACATAACTACAGATAACAATTAATGCACCTGGTAAGCCTGAGTTTCCTGGTGGTCCACTTAAACCAGGTATTCCTGGTTCACCTTTCACTCCTTTAGCTGACACAGGTCCAGGTTGACCCTTATTACCAGGAATTCCTGGAAATCCTCTTTGTCCTTTTTCTCCTGGTACACCAGGAGGACCTTCTCTACCAGGTGCACCATCTATTCCTCTATCCCCTTTAGATCCAGGAATACCAGGAAGACCATCTTCTCCTGGCTTTCCCGGTATGCCAGGAAAACCAACATTTCCTGGAAAACCCTTTTCACCTGTGAAATTAAATATTGAAAGATATTATGGTTCATAAGGATAAAAAATATTCAGAAAATTCAAAACTAAATATAATAAGATTGTTTATGACAACACATTAAGATATACAATCTGTCAAAAATTACATCATACTTTTTAACATAATTTGACATTATAATTATTGCTTTCTGAACATATCAAAATCATTTGCCAAGTATATTTTCTTCAAAAAAAAGGTTTTTCCTCTGTTTATTAATGAAACTTCACAAATTATATAAAACATAAAATTATTTACTCTTATTACATTGCTTATGATAAATATTATGAGAAGCAAAACTAATTTTATAAAATAAACTATTACTATTAAATAATTTTAATTGTTATAAAAAAATGAGGCATGTGAAACTCTACAATAGATCTTTGTATAGCCACTATAAAATTATGTGCAGATTGTTTAATTACTAAGACTTGTATCAACAAACCTTTTGCTCCAGGAAATCCATCATACCCATCTCTTCCAGGCAAACCAGGTTGTCCAGGTTTTCCATCAATCCCAGGGAGTCCTGGAAGTCCAGATTCTCCTTTATCCCCTCGCAACCCTGGAGGTCCAGTTGGACCAGGTGGTCCAGATTCTCCAGGGTATCCTCTTTCACCTTTTCAAGAAAAAAATGTTTCAGTAAAGTCTGTAATATATATGTGATTATGCATCGTGAATACTAGAAAGTGTACCAGAAAAGGTCACATCTGATTACAATGTGGTAAAGAATTCAACAAAAAAAAACACAAAACCTGATAAGACAGACAATACTCTGAAGCATATCACGTTGCCAAACCTTTCAATCCATCTTGACCAGGTGGACCAGGAGGTCCTGGTGGGCCTGGCTGTCCCTCTCTAGCTGGTTCTCCTTTATCTCCTTTAAATCCATCTAGACCATTCAATCCTGGTGCTCCAGAACTGCCCTTGACACCAGGAATTCCTGGTAGTCCTCGGTCACCTACAATAATATTATGAAAGGTCAAACCACTTATAAAATTATAATAAGGAAAATGTGTCTATTTTGTGTACAAATTTATTTTTGGTTCATCTTTATTTTTACACATTTAACTAAAATAGTTCTCTAAAATCTACAGCCCATAATTTGCTGACAGTTTTCCCTGACACAAACAATTCTTTCTCTGAGCCAGCCACACAGGAAATACAGTGTTCACACCACTGCTCTACATCTTTGTACAAATGTGGCCAGTAGGTTTGCCTCTCCAGCCTGGCAGTAGTACAAGTCCCTCTTTGATATATTTTTTTTTTATTTATTTCTTCATATTTAAGCATAAAGTACACAATGAGCTATCTTTGCTGAGATCAACAAAGATATCAGAACCTAATTTTTAGGATTATAAGACCTTATTCTTACACCCAATTGTCCTTTTTTTATTACTAAATCATCATCTTAGAGAAAATATAGTATTAGACATATAAAACAATCCATTTTGAAACCACCTAGAATTTAGCTCATCACTGAAAAAATTCAAGCAGTGTAAAGCCATAGTTAATTTTCATTTGAAATCCAATAAAAAAGGCATTTTCTTTCCAATTGTATTGCAATTAGTATATTCATAAATCCAACTGAGGTTCAATTATTGTGGAATTTACTGTTAAACTGCAACAAATTGTAGTGATGTTTCATATTAAAGCATATAATTCTTTAAACTTACTTGGTGTTGGTCCTGTAGTGGGTAGCCCTTTATTAAAACCCACATTTAAGAACTGTATTTATATTAAGCACTGCTGTTCAAATACATCCATTAGTATTGTTGTGGTGAATCTGATTTATCAATTGTTAGTTCCTTATCAAACATTATAATGATACAGTGTAATAAAATCTATGATTCGTAACTATTCTGACATTTTGTATTATCAGAATACCTAACTTTAATTTTTCTACATATTTACAAAAAAATATTTTTTTTTTTAACCTACGCTTTTACTGTCAGTAGTAAATTGTTACTTTTTTTAGGACACCAAAATTAAAAGAACTTCTGAATCTTGAATCATAGACAGGTAATAATATTACAACAGGTATTAGATCTGGTTAAAATTTCCATAGAAGAAAGACTTAATTTTTTGCTCTCAATTGTCAAATTAAATTTTAGTTGAACATCATGATTTCATTTCTGCAGTTCAACTACTTTGCTTCTTTTTATTGATTTTATTCTATTCTACCCAAAGGCTTTAGATTATACATAGAATGAGTAGTCATTCAGGCAATACAACACATTATGAAGGTGGTCATAATAACCATAAGAGTGTAAACTGCATGTAGCAAACATAAAATAACTCAAATTGACCTATTCGTAGTATGGTTGATCCACAAATCTGTTTCACATGTTCTCATATCCTTTTGCTACAAAACATACACAGTTAGTACATATGCAATTTGAATTTGTGTTTGGAAACTAATATAAAAAATATTAATATTACCTTTAGGTCCTAGTGCACCAGGCAAACCTCGTTCTCCCTTTGGACCAGGAGGACCTTGTATACCAGGCTGACCAGGTGGTCCAGTTCCAGGGAAACCTTTGTCCCCTTGAAGTCCTATAGAAGTACAGACATAAAAATGTCTTTATTTGCATTTATTTGATCAAAAACATTATAAGCTATTAGAAAAATTACAATAACTATAATGCACATAATAATGGAAAAATTTGCACAGGTAGTATAAATGTTTAAATTTGTATTCTCTTTTTCAAAAGTTTGTTTTTCTCTGTATAAGTACATTTTTGCTGAATGAAAAATAACCTCTTTGTATCAAAATATGATGAGGAATGAGAAATACATAATGTGTAATAAATTATGGCTGCACCAATTTAATACAACAATCTTTCAATACTAACCAGGAAGGCCTGGTGCCCCAGGGAATCCTGTTGGACCAGGAGGCCCTGGCTCTCCAGGAAAACCCATTGGTCCTTTGCTTCCTTTATCTCCACGTGGTCCTGTCAGTCCTGATAAGACAAAAAATATGGTTTAATAAAATATTTAGTTATTGCAAAATAAGGGATTCGATTTTATGACACTATTAGTTGAGGAACTAGTAAATTACATTTAAAGACATTATAGACATCAGAGTTTAAATGATATTGTGAACTGTAGGGAACTTTAAAATAAATCGTGACTTATCAAATTTATATATGAAAACTAATTTGTTTTTATGGGATAAGTTTACCTCTAGGTCCGGGTTCCCCAGGTAGCCCGTCTATTCCAGATAAACCTTCTAGTCCAGGAATACCATCCTCTCCTGGTGGTCCTCGTGGACCAGGTTCACCTTTTGGTCCGTCAAAACCAATGTCTCCTTGTATACCTTGAGGTCCTGGAAGGTGAGTGATGTTTGCAGGTGTTGGTAGTTCTCCTACATGAAGTAATAGCATATTTAATTTCAAACTGAAAAAATAAATTTGTAATTTTCTATTCAGAAATGAATCATATGATGATAAGCAAAAACTTGCAGAATAAGGTTATATAAAAATAAGTTGCCAATGATAAGAAAGTTAATATAACATCTGAACTCTTTTGAACAATACTAAAGACAGGTTCAAAATGTTATACTTTGTAAACTGTAAAGATCCTGTGTACATAATTTTCTTTCTGTGTAACAAGTTATTCTAATTTTTACTTTAGTTTCCAATTCCTAACTAGTTTTTAAATTAGCTGAGTGGTTGGTTTTTTATATTCCAATTATATATATGGTTCATGCAATTAACCCACATTGAGTGTCTGTGTCATTGCTCCTATCACTTGGACTAGATAGCAGTTATTATAATCACATACGTGTATTGACCATGGTTTTACATAACTTGGTACTTTGACAATTTCTTATTAATTTGTATGGTAAATGTATTTCTCTTAATGAATAAAATGTTATTTTACAGTTAGGAACAGTGCTTAGAATATCAACAGACTTTAGTTGTTGTTTAAAGCTAACATTACTAATATGTTAATGAATCCTGCACTCAAGATTACATAAACAGATTCAGGGTATTTACTTCTGAATCACATTTTCAAACAGATCAAAGAACTAGATCTCTACTAAGTACCAATAACTGATTCATGATCTTGCCTTATATATATAATCAATCATTGAAAATCAATGACCTTGACCACTGAAGGTAGTACTGGTGAAAGTTTCAGGGCTCTGTTTTTTAATGTGGTGCTAAAGACAAACTTAGAGGATCAATCTTAATACCAGGGCCAGATTTGAGGAGGTGAGGGCAAATAGTTGTAATTTCCTCTGCCTCTCAGGTCGAAATGAAAAAAAAGATGGCTCATGTAAAAACATATGTTTGCAACTATTTCAAGTGCAATTTTAGTCATTTCATACAAACCTCTTATTTTGTAATTTTTTCATTAACATGTGCTTGCAGTTTGTTCTTTCATAAATATTTGCTCATCAGCATAACAAAGAATTCATTATTTCATGACTTTATATATATTAGAATTATTATTTAATATACTATTTGTTCATTGCTTGTGCTTGTGTGTATTGCTCAAACTGCAGTTAACAAATAGTATTGCCTTGTATTTGACTTATTTACAAAGTTCAGTTCTGAGGGCCCCTACAAAATTTTCCTTGAGTACCCAAGTCCTTAATCAGTCCCCGTTTAGTATAGAGTAATAGTGGGTGATAGGCAGTCTTGCTCTCTGAAGACAGTAACACTAACAGAATCAGCTTTTATATGCAGATGGTGAATTCAGGACTTTGACCTCTGTAGCCATGACTAATGGCTGTTCAGAATCTTGATTTCTGTAAACAATACCAAACACAGAGACAATAATGAATTCACAGTGTTAATATCTGAAAAGAATATGGATAATAAAATCAAGGCCTTTGCCTCTTTAGATAGCTGTGACAAATAAAGGAACTGGAATCTGAACACAGCAGTTACAAGAAAATCTGGGTTTTGGCATCTATAAAAAATATCAATGGGAAATTCAGAACTTTACCCTTACACAGGACTAGTGATGACTTTAAAGCCTTGACCTCTGAAGCCAGTATCATGGTTGATTCAGAGTCTGAATCTTTAAAAAAACATCAAAGACAGATACAAGAACATGATATCTGTAAGCATTAGGCATAACAGATTTAGGCTTATGGTCTCTGTGTATCTGATAAATCAAAACTTCAGTGTCTTTTCCTCTCAGACAGTATCAAAGACAGATTATGAGCCTTTACCTTCTTACAGAGTACCAAAGAGAATTTCAGAACACTGAAATCTGTGAAGAGTACAGTAATGGAATCAGAAACATGTCCTCCATGGTTTGTTTCAGTAATTCCTTCATGACTTTCATTTCTGAAGATAACAGAATCAAAAATATGTCACCTATAGTTTGTTTAAGTGACAAATTTATAGCCTTGACCTCCAACAGCAGTATCACTGACAAATTCCTATACTGTATTTTTTAAAAAGGAATTATATCGGGGTCAGGATCTTGAGATCTGTAGATTGTCTCAAGAGTAGGTTCAACCTTTGACTTTAGTGGTCAATATTAGACTAACACCTCACTATACATATTGTTGCGTCAGCGAGGTCACGTGACTAGTGTCACGCCCCCTGCTTTCTGGAAATATCTTGTACCTTCGTGAATTGTCGGGAGATTACTAGATATAGGGTAGTCTGGTATGTATAAGAGGGTGACAACGTGATGGGACAATAATGTGTGTGTAGGTAGTGAGTAATTGATCTGCAGTGAGAAAGTTGAAGTTAACGTTCGTTATAGCGTTTGTTTTAGCACGAATGTTGAAATCAAGTGTATCATGAAGTTATATTCAGAAAGAATAAACCAGTTTTATTAAGTAAGGACTTGTGTCACTAACGTTTCATCAGAACGAATTTACGGAAAATCGATTAACGAACGGAGACGTAACAAATTGGTGTCAGAGAGTGGGACAAAAAAAAATTGGAAACGAGAAGCGACAAATCAAACTACAGCATAGCAGACTTGATGGCAGCAATGCAAGAACAGCAAAAGAAACAAGAAGAACGAGAAAATAAACAAGAAAAGACACAAGAAGAACGAGAAGAGAAATTACAACAGTTGTTAGCAGAAAAAGAAAAGAAACAAGAAGAAACACAACAGCAGTTACAAGAAAACCTACAACAATGGCAGCTCGAACAGCAG